TGCTATTTGTTTTTTATCTCCTGAGGGGTTCTAGCTCCATTTGAAAACTGCAGCCTAAGCGTCCATATAAGCCCATATGTGACAGGGTGGCATCCTGCACGCTCCATCCATGCTTGTGAAGTGCTGAGTGGAGATGGCTCCCAGTGTGAGCAATGGTCGGTGACTTGGGGAGGATGCTCAGCACCCTAAACCACGATGCCTGAGCAAGGAAACTCCTTCCCATCTGCTCCTTCTCCTGTGGCACAACCTGGGCTTTGTCAGCACTGCTTCATATCATCTCCACTGGTCCCAGCACTGTGTTGAGCTGCCTGCAGGGAGTCCCCTCCCTGTGGCCATGCTGGAGATGCTCCACGGAATGAAATGCTGCTTGCTCAGTTCTCTCCACTCCTGTGTAGTTGCTTTGAGGCATCTGGCATTGAACTGCCACACGCAGCAAAACCCACCTGTGCTCTGTCCTGGCTCCCATTCCTGGAGGCTTCAGTGGCAGGTAGTGGCAGTGGTTGGGATGCCTGCCTAGGGATGTTTTCATCCAGGAAGGTATTTTAAAGACGTGTATCATTAGAGAATTCCCTTGGGTTTTGACCAAATTTGAGCATATGGGCTGTTGACTATTCCACTGGTTTCACAGAGAAACTATTTCTTCTTCCTCTAGACATCACCCTTAGGGGATGCTTTCTTTTTTTCCCCTGATTTCATCCAATTACTTAGCTGTATGCTCTTCTGAAGCACCATAAATAATTCTCCTCCCTCTGCTGTGTTTACCAGCATGTCTCATGAAATCCAGTAAAATATGATTGATTGCAATCATTATTTCCTGGTGCTGCTATGAAAACCTCTATCAGGTTCAGTGATTGCCTTTAAAGAGTGGCTGCCACTCAGGAAAACTGTCAGAAACCTATCCTACTTTAGCAAACTCCAATTAATCTGTTGATCAGTCTTAGTTGGATTTTCTTTCCCATCGTTGCTGCTTATCAAAGGTAGTGAGACTATTTTTCCTTTGTGATTAGCAGCTTGCTTATTATTTAAGAAGAAGGGGCTCGGAGGACTACTTCATGCTCTTGAGTTCGGTTTGGGTTTATCCTTGTCTGCAGTGCTGGTTGCAAGTCTGCTGGGGATCTTTGTCACTGGTTTCAGTGGGGAAAGCTGGGGGTACTCTCTGCCATCCTCTGGATCCCCATCACACCCACAAGCAGCCGTTCTCCAGGTATTCGGGTCTCTGGTGCAGGTTAACAAATTAATCCTGGTTTTAAAAGAGTCACTTCAGCACTTTTCCTCCTCACTTTTGGTTTTAATGAGACACACTTTCTGAGAGATGTAATAATCATTGCCAAAAATGTCAACTCATTCCTGTTATCCCCCTTAAGCTTCTGGAACAACAAAAACAACAGCAGCAAAGACCAAGAACTGAAAAAGAGGTTTTAGTGACAAAGGGCTTCAACTTTATCTCCAAGAGCAAGGAGGGGGCTAGGGAGAGCCATGCCCTTGACTGCTCTGCTCTCTGAGAGGGTGCTTGAAAAGATAACCCAGGGAAGGCTGAGATTTATTTATTTTATTACTATTTTTTACTTAGGATTTGGGGTGGGTTTTCATTTCTTTATTGGAGAAGGAATATCTCTGCTCACTGCTGACAGCAAAGCTCAGAGCTTTGAAAAGCATCCTAGAATTTCTCAAAACCTGCTGGGAAATTGGATGGTGGCAGTGACACTAGGGGAAATCACAGCGAAGCCAGTGGGAGAGCCGGGGGGAGTTCAGCTGTGGGGCTGGGGCTTGCAGCCTGGGATCCCGGGGGAAACTGTTTCATTCCAGTGGGAATATCCTTACCTTTCCTCAGTGGTTAGGGAGCAGAGCTGGATTGTCAGCCATGCTTCCATGGTGAGGACTTGGGGCAGGCATCCTTGGCAGAGTTGCCTGGGGTGTGGATGAAGCCCAAGCAGTAGGAAATCTCCATTTCTTGCTCCTCACTGAGCATGGGGCAGTCCCTGGGGAGCTTTTCCTGGGCAGTAGGGATGCAACTGAGCACTCTTGGGTGCTCTTCATGGACATCAGCTCACTCCTGCTGTTGGAAAAGTTAGCCCTATATAGCTCCGTGCCTCAGTTTCCTTCATCCCCCTGCCCAGGGCAGCATTAAGCTATCTTAGCGGGGCTGAAGGGGCTTGCAGGACCCATCCCTGCAGGACCCCCCAGGTCTGTTCTGCAGGGATGAACTTGGTGCTTGTGTCTGGGTTTTAAGCAGGGCCCAGAGCTGTTCCTCTGCCCAGGCTTTTCAAGCAGCCTTTTACATTTCAAACAAGCTGCACCACTAAAGAGGCCTTCATGATTTAACTGGATGCAGCCCTGCTACAAACTGGGGTGACAGCCCAGCCCTCAACGGCAGAGGCAGCAGTGGCTCTCGGTCCTCCCCGTTGCCTTCCCAGGCATGGTCTTGCATCTTCACGGATGTTCAAAATGTGTTCAAGGCCAGGTTGAACAGGGCTTGAAGTAACCTGCTGTAGTGGAACGTGTCCCTGCCCATGGCAGGGGTTGGAACTGGATGAGCTTTAAGGTCCCTTCCAGCGCAAACCAGTCTGGGATTCTATGTCTCTTCCTGGAAAACCAGCACGGCCTGAAACACCCCATATCCCCCTGCCTCCAAAACAAGCTGGGATCCAAATCCTTAGGCCAGGGGTACCACTACATCCATGGAAATGGGGTGGTTGTGGTTTGAGCCCTTCTGGGCAGCTCTAGGAGCAGTATTGGTTCCTTCTCCTGACCTCCAGACTGACCCACTGGCACAGGAGCACACAAGGCGATGCACAATCTCTGTCTCACTCAAAACCTGAGTTCAAGGTGCAAGCTCTCACACTGGCAGTGCCAGGATGTCAGAGCTGGAGCACATCCTGAGCAGAAATCCCTATTTGGGGTGGCCAGTCCTGGAAGCTTCCTGGGGCAGGGTGCTGGGGGCTGCAAGCCATGGACCAGGGTGGCACCAGAGTGGGCTCAGTCCTGTGGGGAAATAACTAATGTGGATTTGCTGACTTAAGACCATCTTGGAGCTTTTCTATTTTCCTTGGCCGTGTTGTGCCCACTTTGCTCAGTTGTGTTTGGGGAGACCCCTGTACAAACTGAGCTCCATGGTCTAAGTTTCTGCTTTTTTCCCCTTATCCCATCTTGTCATTGCAACTTCATTGGCACTCCTGCCCTTTGATGGGACAGGCCATGACTTGTGTCCCACCCAGGGAATTGGGAGACCTTCCTGGTGGGACTGGCTCCTGCATTCCCAGACCCACCCGGTGGGGCTGCATCACACTTCGGGCACCCACTGATTCAAGTCACTGACTTCTTGCCATGGAAGTGCAGGGAGCATTTTGGGAAGAGCCCAGTTTCAATCTCCATGAATGGAAGGTTTTTTTTTTTGAGGAATTGCTTTTGCTCTCTGTTTTTCTCCCATTTTGTTAAGATTTGTCATGAAAAATAACGTGTTGCTGATAATCTCCGCAGTGTGGGAGAGAGCCATTGGTGAGGCTCTGGGTGTCAGCTTCTCAGAGGGCTTAAGGGCTGGTTTGTAACCCTGTGCTCACGTGCCAGCAGCGACGCAATGCTGTCATAGCACCCAGTGGGTAAGAGCCTGGCTGGGTTATGAGTGCCGAAGCCCCCATATTTGTAGTACTGATGCAGACCCCTCCATAGAGCTGGAGAACCAACCACAGCATCTGGAACTGGAGTTAGTGGTGATTTACCTGGAGAGTGGGGAGGGAGCCGGGGGTGCATCTCTGCAGCAGTGGGAGCTGTCGCCGTGAGCCAGTTCTCACCATAGACATACACATGGCTCTCATCTGGACACCAAAACCGTCTAGAACCCACACTTTGTGCTGTTTGATGTGCTCAGCAGCCCCACTCCATCCCACTGCCAGGGCTGAGCTGGGTGCAGGGTGCTGGGGGGGATATAGCCACCCTCTGGCTTTGCAAGATCTGTTTTGGCATCTCTTTGGAGATGTGTGACATGCCCCTAATTTCCCATAGCCACTGAAGTGGCCAGCACCACCTGCCCAGCTCCTGCTGCTCACTCCTGAAAAGCACACGAGTGGAATGGGGGAGATAAGCAAAATGGGAGAAGTTCAGGGGATTATGCACTGATTAAGTTATTACCAATGTGAAATGAGCAGCGTTGAGATGAAACAGGAGCTTTATTTTCTGTTCTCTGGCTTCAGGCTCGGGGCTCCTGTCACTAGACCACACATCAAAGTGGGAGCTGGCAGCTCTATATCCCCTGGTGCTTTCAACACGGCAGCGGTTTGGTGCTGTGCAAACACATAGGAAGCAGAGCATTAAATGGGGCTGGGAACTGGGGGGGCCTTCCCTGCTGTGGGGGGTTTGTAGAGATGCAGTGCTTGAGGCAGAGCTATACCCAATGCTGGGGCACCCACCCTGCAGCAGATGTAGGTAGAAAAGAAATTCCCTGCACCAGGAAGATCCAGTGCTGCTGGGAGGATGTGCTGGGGGACAACTACCTATTTGCTTTTGCTTAGTCACCCCTGGCAGGCTGCTGGCAAAGGCAGGATACTGGGCAAGGTGGGTCCTGGAGGGTGGAAAATGAGTTCAACATGAGGTTTTTGTGTCTGAGAATGAAGTTGGTTTCCTGTGAGCACTCAGGACAGGCTGGATCTGGTGGACAAGTCGCGTGTTAATGCTGGAGAGGCAGGTGAGGAAGCTGGATCCAGAGTTGGCTTAACCACTGGTTATCAGGACCTGCAGCAGCCCAGCTGGATGTGGGCACAGGCAGGGATTAACCCATGCTTGGACAGGACAATGGGACTGTGGGTCTGTTGGCGAAGCCAGGGAGGGAATATCAGGACAGCAGGACATCAGGATGGTCCATAACTCACTGATCCCATCAGTGGGGCTGGGAGCACAGGACCATGGGCAGCTTTGGGGCTGAAGCTGTGGGGAGGGGGATTTTCTTGGTGTGACAGAGCAGTGCCCAGCCCATGATGTGTCTCACTTTGCTCTTTGTGTGCCTGCAGTGATGGGTGCGCTGGAGTCCCGAGGGGTGCTGCGGCGGATGAGCGACATGCTTGAGATGCTGGTGAAGAGGATGGACATCCTGGCCAGGCTGGAGAATAGCACTGACTTCCACAAAGGGGATGAAGCACGACTCCCTATGGACAGGTCAGTCAGCCATGCCAATGCCTCGTAAAGACCCTGTGGAATGGCTTGGGGGGTTGCAGGAGCAGAAGAACCCCAGTGTGTTCTGAGGTGTTGGGCTGAGCTGCTCTGTGGGGATGATGGAGCCCATGGGGCTTGGACAAAACTTCTGCAGTCTTGTTTGCCATGTCTGGAACCCTTTTTTTTTGGGATTTCTGAAATTACTGTGATTTTGGGGGTTTCCTATAGCACCTCTCCCAGCTTACTAGTGCTGCAGGGTGGCTACTAGCTACTACTGTGGAGGGTGTCTGTGGTGGAGCTCAAGGTGGCTGGAGGAGTACCTGGTGCATGGGCTGAGCTCTCTCTGCCATGAGGACGGTTTCTTTGTGCCCATATCCCTTGGGTAGCTATGGCAGTGATTGTTGTTTGAAATCCAGGGATGATCTGTTCAGCCCTGGAGTTGAGCAAGGCTTAGAATAAAATATAAGCAAACTGTCAGGTCCTGAAATGCTCTCTGGGCAGAGCTGGTGTCCTGATGCACGCATCACATCCATCCAGGCCAGCTTGAGAGATGCTGTCAGACCTCCCCGTCATGACATGCTGGTTTGCTAAAGAGACATTTCCCTTTGCTTTGAACATTTATTAATCCTAATATGGCTGTCATGCCAAGGCCTGCAAAAATGGTAGCTAAAGGAACTTGAAGTGATGTGGACTTACGCCGTCCAGAGGGACCTGGACAGGCTTCAGAGGTGGAACAATGTGAACCTCATGAAGTTCAAAAAGGGCATATGCAAGGTCCTGCACATGGCTTGGGGCAATCCCAAGCACAATTACAGGCTGGATGAAGAATGAATGGAGGACTTGAGGGTGTTGGGTGATGAGAAGCTCCCCATGACCCGGCTTCAGTGTGCACTTGAGACCAGAACCCCTCGATGTGCTGGGCTGCACCCCCAGATCGTGAGCAGCGGGTCAAGGGAGGAGATCCTGCCCCTCTGCTGTG